ATATATATATATATATACACATGTTGCATATTTCTTATATTCTTATTTTCTTCATTAAATAAAAACCTTCGTAATTATTTCAAGAGCCAGATTGTTCATTTTTACTTTCGCTTCTCTAATAATCTGACAATATAGATATTAAAACCTCTTATTGTTAAGTATCACATTATTATTGAAAGCCTCATCTCGATGTATTACACCCACATAATGGCGCGCAATGTTCTGTCTGTATACAACATACGTATAAAAAAACACTACCGATCATAAAAAAGAGGTTTACGTTGTGATCAAAGCAGATCGTCGTTTACGAAGCCGACAAAATGAATTTACTACTAAAGTGTCGCCGACTCTCACTGATATCGACATATTTTATTACGTCAAAACCAATACGAAACAATCTCACTATCGTACTTATCGTACATGAAGACTTCGTTCGATCGTCAATCGACTTTCATTGTTTACGAGCGATAAAGTTCTGGACATTGACAAATAATGGGCGAGTGACTCGGACATTAAAAGAAAAGGGAAAAAAATTGAAATTGTCCCTCGAAATTGTCGAAGGCATTCTTCTAGTTTCAACAATATCCACTTTAAACGTCCTTTAATACTTAGAAATACGAGTAACATCTCTTCTTTGCTTCTACTTGTCGAGTAATTTTTGCTTGAATAAACATACTTATCTTCTCTTTTGAATAAAGAGAGAAAAATAAAATGAGAATTGTTGAAAAAAACCGAGGAAAAATATCAAGCTATCTCACACTTTCTAATCTATTTCTCTTCATATATTTTATATCTCTTTGTACAATATCTTGCAAAATTTGATAAGTTGTGTCAAGGTGTGACGTAGACTTTCATATACATAGACGAACAGCACTTAAATTCTTGTGGAAAAATGTTCAGAAAGAAAAATATAAGTTTGATCGCATAAAAAGTCTACTTTTTTCTTCTATCTTGACTGATAATTTTGAAATTTATATCCTAGAATGTAAGACAAAGAAATGAAACTAAATTTAACCCATTCCGATAGCAAAGTATAATAATTATGTATTATAATACATAAATTAGAGATAATGGAATTGTCAAAGGACGAGATGTGGAAATATATTACGCCATTTCTAGTAGAAAAGGTTTTGTTAATGAAGCGAGCTAATTCTAGTAAACCAAAAACAAACGAGGAGTGCACCGTTTCAAATAATATTCTGCTCTTCTAAAGTGTACATAGGTAAATATATATATATATATATATATATATACATGTACACAGATAGTTAACTTT